TTGTCATGTTCAAGAAACCAGTCTCAGATGATTCCCGCTTTATGACACGATGCTCAATTGATACTAATGCTGCGTTCACACCAAACACAGCAGGAGCAGCTAATTTACATGCAAAGTCAATGGTTGACGCGCGTCAAGGCATGTCAAGGTCCCGCAGCGCGTTTTGAGCAGCAGGCGCAGCACGTCTGAGCAGCTGAAGCAGCCGCAAAAGCGCTGCTGCTCGAGATGGAAAAATGTAACTTTTGCTGCTCGACGCGCCGCATCAACCAATCAGAGAAGCTGATCTGGGAGACAGACACATCGCTGATGACACAGAGCGCTGTGATCACTCCTCTGAAACAGTTTATTAACGCCTAAATTAACTAAAAATGCTGAAACCTGCCGGCAAAACATGCTTGCTTTTATTATCCTGGTGCCTGCAGTTTGAATTACGGACATGAAAAATGCCTTCCAGCCACTGCTGCAAACCGCGAGGAGGCAACTGGGCCATAGGCTGCTGTTGAATGGGATTACTGACAGCGTATGTAATGTGGGGGTCTGAGCGGCTCTGACAGAAATAATATTGGAAGGCAGGATAGTTATCTGGATGAACTGAATGCAATGATTACGTTTTCAGGTGGACTTTCTCACTTAAAAACATATTAAAACTACTTTATTCCCACTGATCACAGCAAATATAGCTGCAAGGCAAAGAAAGGATAGAGTAGCTCCGTCCAACGTGCGTCAGACACACTTTAGCACCACGCAGCCAGAGCAGCAAAGCTCTGTGCAAAGCACCGCGCGTCAGACTAACTGGTACAAGCAGCAAAAATGAAGCAGCAGATGCGTTTTTGCTGCTCCTGCTGCGTTTGGTGTGAACGCAGCTTAAGTGGTTCAAATGACACTTAGAAAATATCCCACACACCATGACATCATCATTATCACCACCAGCCTGAACTGTTGACACAAGGCAGGATGGATCCAGGCTTTTCGTGTTGACGCCCAATTCTAACCCAACCATCTGAATGTTGCAGGAGAATTGAAGACTCATCAAAACAGGCAACGTTTTTCAAATCTTCTGTCGTCTAATTCTGTTGAGCCTGCACGAATATGGCCTCAGGTTCCTGTTCTTAGCTGACAGGAGTGGCACCNATACATTAACTAACCCTTGCATAACATATCTCCCAGCCCTTTCCGCCCTCGGCTTTAGTATGTTACATTCATTTTACAAAGACAGTAGAGATAACCAATATGCAATTATATACAGATTTTTATACAAATCCATTTTCACATCTGTCCCTGCCACTTCTCTATAACTATTCAACGGTATGTTTTTATACCATTTTAAGGGTTACGCTCTGTGTTTTTTGGTTGAAGGTGCCTTTGTCCATTTAAGTCACAGAGATGGTGTAGACCCCCCTTCTCCTACTCACTATCCCCCATAGCCATGTCCTTTTCAAGGTTTCCCACCTGAAGTGGCTGGTGGTCATGTAGTAGAGCACAGGGTCCAGACATGTGTTGAGGGTAACGAGCGCCATGGTAACTCGCCTGGCGTTGTAGATGAAAGCTCTGATGGAGCAGCTCTGGATGACCTCTAAGCGCTGAAGGAGGTGCAGCAGGTAGACCACATGGTTGGGCAGGAAACAGAGCAGCGTGATGGCCAAGATGGTGTAGATGACCCGCACAGCTTTCTTTGCTGTGTTGGTGCCGATGGTTGAAATCCGGTTGGCTACCAGCGGGTAACAAACCAGGATGATCAATGAAGGTACCAGGGAGCCAAAGATCAGGCTGACTATACTGTACGTCCTAAGGCGCTCGTTCCACTCTTTCTTGGCAAAGTTTTCGAAGCAGCTGTGGCCAGTAGAGGCATCCCCGCTTTCCAGCGGACCCATGAGGATGAAGATTAGTATAGCCACTCCGCCGAGACACCAAAGCACCACAGTCACCACAAGAGACCATTTAGGGCTCCGCATCCTCAGATAGGTGTGTGGGTGCACTGTGGCCATGTAGCGGTCCACGCAGATGCAAGTCATGAAGCAGATGCTCATGTAGATGTTGGCAAAATACAGCGTCCCCGTGACGAGACAGGTAAGTTCTCCGAACACCCAGTTGTTCCTGTGGAGGTGGTAGTGGATCCGGAAGGGCAGCGTGCAGAGGATGAGGATGTCCGCCATGGCCAGGTTGCTGATGTAGACACCGAAGGCCGTGCGAGGACTGGTCTTTACGGAGAAGACAAACAACGCCGCCAGATTTCCTGGCAGGCCTATGATTAAGGCCAGGATGTAGACCGCTGGGAAGAGGTGGTACTGGAACTCTGCTTCTGGGTCGGTGCAGTTTGTCTGGTTCATTATGACAGATCTGGCGGACTCTTTGGTTTAATTTCAGATCAGGGTTTTTTTATGTAGAAAATAGACGTAGGTTGATTTCCAGAAATCAGCGTCTCCTGTAAGTGAGGCGAGGCAGACATTTTCCATTCAGTTTTTCCACTTTAGCTTTTCCATAATAACTTAATTGCTCCAAGGTACAATCAAAAGCCTGCCAATTGTTCTATATTATTATAAAAAGCAATAGGCACAACTTAGTTTAGATAAAAAGGATGTGATTGTATTTTTCAGTACTGTTTGAGGACTTACAGTAGCGGTAAAGAATAAAGTGAAACGAGGCTGGAAAGCACCAGCGGCAGGTATATAAAAGAAAGGTACACTTAAATAACACTAATTTTATGATGTTAGACATGCGTTAAGCATTTTTACCGTGTTCAAGAAATTGTAATCCAGATTATTTGATCAGATCTTTCTTTTTTTTTTTTAAAGCCCATTCATGTGATTTATTTCTAATCTGTTCATTCTACATTTAAAATATCTCAGAAATGACATAAAGTTACTTACTTAAATTATTTTCAGCCTCCAGGTCCACAAAGCTCCACCGTAGATCTCTAAAAGTGCAAAGACTTGCTGTGACTCTAACTGCCATGTGAACAGAAGCTGCTTCTTCTTTCTTTTTTTTTTTTGGTGCAGCTTCCTGTTTCATTGTGAAGGTGTAGCGTGATGCAAAGGAAATTATAGTGTTTGAAGAGCCAACCACAGAACCAAACGATTGTGTGTTTTGCTCCTCATTTTAATTACATTTTTAAAATGAGCTAAGACGGTCTTGGTAAAAATTTTATGATATTTTAAGATAGTATTGAGATAAATCAAAACTGGAAAATAATGACTAGCTATAATATTGTAGCTCTAATGTTTCATACCCAATACTTTATTGGGTGGAAGTGAGAATATTGATTAGCTCTTAATGTTTAGCCATTAATTTAAAGTGACATCAAAGATGTAAAATGTATTTAGTAGTTCATGTACAAAACAGAAAATACACCACCTTTGCTTTTAAGGGGAAGTAGAATTGATAACCGTTGTTTTTTCACTTTTCCTTTTCACTCATAATCAAAAAAATATATATTCTTTATTGATAGGAAAGTAATATGATTTAATAAGTATGAAAGTTTTTTTTTTCTATTAGAACAAGCACCTTTACAATGGTCTATGTCAACTTTGGTATAACCTTAAGTCAAAAATAAAAATAAGTTGCATTTGAAAAAGCAACTGTGGTTAACTTATTAATAGTGCCCTTTTTGTGTTGTTTTTTTTTTTTAAGTGATGTTACTACTACAAATATCAATGTATGTTCTTGAGGTTTTATGTAACAAACCTAAGTAGAATTATAGGCTATATATTCTTTCAACAAAAATCTACAAATTGCAGCATGCTTTATTCAGTATTCAACCGAGAGAGCAAATGGAGTCCACCCATGAGTAAGTTAACCTCAGAATAAATACAGCCACTTTGTTAATCTTAATAAAAACCCACATAACCTTCATTTCAGCCATGCAATACTTATGTTTGTATTTCAAATTAAGCTTAGGCAACCATTTGTTTCTTTCTATTTATTCTATCTTTTCTTTCACTAAGTATAGATAAAATTTATTTTTATTTAAAATATGCTTTAAGATACGGAAGAGGATTAGGGCCACTGAAAAAACAAAAAAGTTAACTGATTTTTTAATTTTATTTCAGTATAATATGAGAAAAAAGTCAGAATTCTGACTTTAATCTCAGAATTCTGACTTTTTTCTCAGAATTCTGACTTTAATCTCCGAATTTTGGATCTTAATGTAGATGGGTACAATGAAGGAAGACATGTGGAAGGTACTAGTTTCACTGACATAGATTTGAGTTGTTTGGGAGGGTCAGTAACACATTGGTGAAAAATTACGAAATTAGGCAACTTTTTTCGTGCCTGAGGGGTCCCCAGTGATGCTATTTCATTAATGGAAAGAGCAGAAGGTCATTAAAACAAGAGAGCTAGTTTAATCTCTAAAACAGACATGGCTATACAGCTTGATGCTAACATGTTTGTTAGCTGTCAGAATTCAGTCAGAATTCTGAGAAAAAAAGTCAGAATTCTGTGAAAAAAGTAATAATTCTGAGATTAAAGTCAAATTTCTGTGAAAAAAGTAAGAATTCTGAGAATAAAGTCAGAATTCTGAGGAAAACGTCAAAATTCTGAGATTAAAGTCAGAATTCTGACTCTTTTTTTCCCATATTAAACTGAAATAATACTTTAAAATCAGTTAACTTTTTTTTTTCCAGTGGCCCTAATCCTCTTCCGTATTAAGATGCTTTTGTTTTTGTTTTGGTCCAGTTTCATTCCATCGTATTTTATTTTGTTAGATTTTATTTTCCATCTGCTCTTATTCTGAAATCAACAGTAAAACCGGAAGTTGTGATCTGTGTAGCGGCAGAGGCTAGTTATTTAAATTGTCTCGTTTTTGTCTTGCTATTCCAGATATTCCGTCGACCTTATAAAATTCAACAAGTTTAAAAAACTTCTATTATAACTGCAAGAATATTTAGCAAAGAACGTCGTTTTTAAATCGTTTTTACTTACTAATGCTAGTTTACCAGCATTTAGCATCAACGCAGCTTTGTTGACCGAAACTCAGCACGCGCTCGTATTTTAACTTAAATATCGAGCATTTCTCGGCATTTGTACTAGTTTTGCTTCTAAATTTAACCCTCTTCCAACTCTCTCCTGGTGGCCTCGCGCGTTTGACCAATTATTTAGTTTAAAGTAACAACATTATGGAAGAACCGGTCGCTTTAAACGCAGCTGGTGGAGAAGCTGTTGACGCCAATTCCGAGTCGGAAAAATGCTACATCTGCCTGAGCCCCTTCGAGAAGCAAACGGTGGGATCGTTGGATAAATGTCCGCACTTCTTCTGCTTTGAATGTATCCACCAGTGGTCTCAGGTAAACGCCGTCATTTTTTCACAGGCTGTCCTTGTTTTTATGTGGAGCTTGTGTTATAAATAGTGGGCAGTACAGAGAACAGATGTTTAACAGCTGTTTCTACCGAATGCAAAGGTTTTAATGCAGAGAGTGCATCCCAGCTGTTAAAATGCTCTCTGCTGCTCCCCTCCATTGAGTTTCATTTAGTGGTTTGTTGTTGTAACTACAACCTTGAAGCCAGGATGCAGAGGCGTAGTTAGAATTTTTTTATAAGGGTGGCCAGGCAATAACCACTGCACACTGAGGGGTGGCCAAAAGTAGATGGGAACCAGAACCTCAGAATCAATCTACACTGTTCCAACAGGAAAATTAACCAGCAAAACATCCATATTTTCTAAATCAAGACTAAACATACTTTTCTACAGCCTTTGCTAACAAATAGACGCATTTATTTAAACATCTGTAATTTCTAGATAAAAGTTAAAGTGGATAAAACTCAGTTTTCAGTTGTGGGGCGTAAATCAATCATCATTGTCATTACTTACCTACTTGTATCATTAAACTTTCTGCATAAAATGGATATTTACAAGCACTAATATCTACATACATTGATTATTTGATAAATTTTTATTAAAATTGTTATTTATTTTTGATTTCACTGAAGAGTCCTAGATGACTTGCAGAGACAAAGAGACAAATTTCTCTTTACCACATTTAACACAAAATGTAGTTCTAAAAAGAGCATAAATTCTGTACTTATTATCTTTGATGTTAGTATATTGATGCGTATAATTAACCACAAAAAATAAATGTTTTAAATATTCCACTTGCCACCATCTGTATGAGAGGGAACAAAATAGCTCTGCCCCTACATAAATATCACTGTATTGTGTAAGTGGAGTGACAGAGAATGTTATTACATTTATTTTTGTTGTTTTGTTTTCCGTTTCAGACAGCCAACACCTGCCCTGTTGATCGAATCAGTTTTTCGTACATCCTCCAGAGAAAGTGTCCTGAAGGGGACATACAGAAAAAGGTGGGCTGGTTCAGTATTTCTTTCATAGATTTAAAATAAATTAAAACAAAGTCCATGTAAAAATGTCTTAAAAATTTTAAAGCAGATTAGACTTCTGCAACCGCAGACATCAAATGTTGCTTGGGTCTGGTTGCGAACCAGTTTTGCTGGTATGCTTCTGCACCGTCAGAGCAGTTTCTCGCCCGTTGGATGGTCACGAGAACTTCGGCTGTGGTGGCGGGAGTGTTTATCTTCCAAAACAACAATGGCGTGTCTGCAAGATGTCACGGAGATGGATCTAGAGTTGCTAGACATCGAAGAGGAAAATGTTCTGTTAATGCTTCCGCTTGAGGTCTGCGCGGGTTTGCTACCGTTCGACACTTAAGGGCAATTTATGCATCCCACACATAGCCTCTGCAACCTTAAAAAGCGGTGCTAATACAGTGATTTCATGATAGACTGAAGCATAGGAACAATTTAATTACTGCGATAATTGGCATGTTTAAAGGCCAATTTATGCTTCTAAAGCAAAGCCTCTGCAACCATCAAATCTCTTAGCTAGAATGAATAGAAGGGGTAGAGCATAGCCTGTGGCCCGGGCTTTC